GAACACAATTTGTGTGTTGTTATTTCGGGTGTAAAACTAGCCGGGCGAGAGCCGGGTGGGACAAAAAACAGACCTGCTCTGCTCCTCACTACAATCAGCCATAATGAAAACAAGGATCACGGAATCAAATGTCCAGTTCTTCTCTAGGTGTCATGGGAACCATAGAAGGACCCATCATTATGACTCCTCCTTGTGACCTATTTGGAGTCCCCAGATAGGTAGCTCATGTCCATGTCCTTTGGAATTTTCCAAGGTTGTCCATTTGGAATGCCATTCTGGACACCGAGGCCTAAGGGTTTTCACATTCTAGGTATCAAGCCCCAAACTACTGTCTCCTGGGTTTCTAACTTGAGTATCTTCTCTTAGAGTTTCAGAAATATGAACAGGTGAAGGAACCGGGCCTGGAGAAATCAAAGCCTATGGGCTAAACTTTCCACTTACCTGAATTAAGATGTGTTGACTTGTGCTCCAAGACAGTATCTCCGGTCACTGAAAGGCAGAAGAGATGATGGGAACATGAGCAGGGCTTTAGAAATGGAGACTGGCTCAAGAGCAATGTTTGACACGAGGTGCCATTTGAGGGAGCACGCAGTGTTCTCCTAAAGTCGTTCCCCTGCCCCATTAGGGGGTCCCCGATTGGGAAAAACAGCATGGGGATTTTGGCCTGCACCCTGGCCCAAACGGGGGACCAGGCCCCCTCATTGCCCCCGTCCTTTAGTCTGGGCCTCAGAATAATCCTATTGAGCATGATTTTTATGTCATCATCTCTTTTCGTGAAAATGGTTTGTCATCATTGACCCAGTTCTCGAGAGAACAAAGCTCTGCCTAGAGTTTGGACAAAGCACCATTGCTTGCCAGTGCCACAAACAGTGTCTAGGAGGTATGTATTGACATGGTTGGCACAAAGGTTCAGCCCGATGGATGCCTTTGATCAGAAGCATTCTGTTCTTGTTAAAGACCCCTTTGGGAAAAAAGAAACAAAGTGTTGTCAGAGCCATCCTCGGTGTGCACTTGATGACCAGGAAAGGACTGCTGATGCTGACCAGGGCCTGAGAGCATGATGCTGTGGAGGAGGATCATTGTGCCATGAGAGATATCACTGATCAATGGCCTGAGGGCTAGAACCATCCCTGAGTGATGGCCACTTTTTTAGCCTGCCCAAGCAAGTTCAGTGACTCAGGAGCAAGCTCTTCCTGCTAACTGCTCTGATTGCTAGCATGAGACTGTTGCCGATTGTGTATTTGTGTGTTTTGTAACATCATGATCTTTTATTTGATAAAAATTTACAGAGGTTCAGCTTCAAATTCTATGTTAGGTAAATACTATATTTGAATTGACCCTGATACTATTCTCTGATGCAATGCTCATGAAGAAGATTGCCCAAAAAGAATGGAAAGGAATGTAGGGACATCATGTAAATAATCATTGGATGATGGGGTACATGAAAATTGAGCATGTCCAATTTAACATATATCAGAAAGATCGAATATGATTCAATAACCTTCACACACTTGAGGTAATTCATTGGTAATATTTCTTTAATTTTTCACTAGCTGGAGAACGGGAAACCCCTCTATTAGACCTAGTATGTCAAAGGACTGAAAGGTGATAGACTTAAGGATATTGTCAGGAATAAAAACATAGTAGTCAATAGCATCATATTAGAACTGTGATATCATGAAGTCCAAGATGTTGAGGAAGATCAGCATTGTGCAGCAGGCTTCTTTCTCAGGATCTCAACTGAGGTAAAGAATCAAGGAGAATACGAAGACGTTTTCTCCTATACTTTATAGCCCATTTGCCATCAACAAATATCAACACTCTATTGTGCCATAGGAACAGAAAAAAGATGAACACATAAAAAATTTTGATGAGGTGAATTTGATCTTGACAACTAGCTTCATGGACAAAAAGAAGAAAAGTATAAAATAAAATGCAACAAAAATACAGAGGTGTACTTAATATGTTTCAAAGGGCAAAAATGTTCCTGGATTTCTTGATTATCTATTCAAGATGGAAGTGTTTGATAGTTTCCTATTCCTCCTACTTCAGTGTGTCATCATCACCATCATTATCATCATCATCATGATCATCAACATTGTTTTATGCCTTATCCTCCACCCTTTCTAGCACCCAAGTGTTTCCTCAGTTTACCTCTAGGGACATTGCAGTCTGTCCTGCCAATATCCATGTTGCTTTCATGGTGAAATTCTTAGCCTAACAACCTCAACCGCATGGATTTCCCTGTGCTATTATCAAGAGAGGAAAGCCAGCAGAACCAGCAATAATAGGCAAATATCACCAATGAACTCAAATTCAATTTTATCTTTCTGGTAAAGTTTTCTGTGTTTGTGTGTCTCTTTTTGACAAAATGCCTTTTATTTCCTGAACATTAACAAAGGTTGCGCTTGAAATTCCATATTAGGTAAATATTATATAGGACTTGACTCTGAGGCTTTCTCTGAGCTTTGGAATCCAGAGTCGTTCCACACACTCCTATTTTTCAGATTTGAGATAAAATGCTTTCTGCCAAACATATATGATCAAGCTGCCATTTGAAAGGGTCTCCTAGAAAAGAGACACGCCCAGATGCAACAGTAACCTGGAGAGCTGACAAAATCTTTGCAAAACTCAAAGGGGGAAATTCACATATATTAAAGTCAGAGTAGAGCAACACTTATCTTGCTTCTCGGTCTGCGAGAAGGCTACATTCAAGGCTGGGCTAGGCGGTAATTCTCAGGAAGAGGACTGCTCAAAAAGCATGGAAAGAAGTGTTGGGTGAATGGAGGTGAAGTGAAAAACCCTTGAATCATGGGGTACATGAAAATTGAGCATGTCAAATCTACCATACATCAGAAAGATTGAATATAATGGTGGTTTTAAGAGACATTTTTGAATAAGCTTCACACACCTGAGGTCACTCAAGGGTAATATTTCTTTAATTTTTCACTAGCTGGAGAAGGGAATTCCCCTCTATGAGACCTAGTATGTCAAAGCACTGAAGAGTGATAGACTTAAGGACATGGGCAAAAACAAAAACATAATGGTCAAGAGACTATCATCTTAGAACGTATACTCTGTGAAATCGTGTAGTCCAAGTTGTGATTCTTAGAAATTCCCAGACTTAGCAACAATGATTGAGTCAAGAGATAGAGACTCGGTGCTTACCTTTTCTGCATAAAGAATAAGAAGACCTCCAGAATTCTGTCCTGTAACAGTAGAGAAATAATAGTTATCAAGGATGCTAAGTTTTCCATACAACTCTGTCTGCCTTGATAGGCACATTATGCAGACGACCTAGTATACCAACCCTTTCCATCCAAAATTTTCCTGTTTCTTTCTTCCTTTATTTTGGCTTGTCTTACAATGACACCTTTCCTTCCTCATTGCTCCTACTAAAGCTGCCAGTCTCTGTCCTTTAGACAACAACCTAGGTGGAGACAATAGTTTTCCCTTTGATATACTAGTGGCAGATGGAGAGTAGCATGGGGAGGTCACGGCACCTATCTCTCATACTCATTTGTCCTGACATCTTCTATTCCACACCTGCTAGTACACTGTATCTGCTTTAAGAAGGATGGGGCCTGACAGTATCTCGGATGTTGCTTTCATATCTTTAAGAAGACATGGCTGAGCAAACAGTTCCCTTGAGGTGTAGCATCTTCCGGTTCATCACGTGAAAATGTTTGTCACCCAAGCACAGCAACAGCATTATCGAACGAATGATGAAAGAGAGCCATTCCTCAAAAAGGAGACAATGTCTGGACCTTGGGCAACTCCACTTAATCCCAAGAAAGGCAATATCTTTGAATATGTAATGTGGACAATACTCATTTCTCTGAAGTATAGGAAATGGTATCAAGAAGTAAACTGGTGGATAGCAATCATAAATTCCCTTCCAAACTTCTGTTTTGGAATGGTGTATGTCATTTCTAGAGCAGGAGGTGTTGTCCATTCCAATTCCCTTCCCAAAACAATGTCGGTGACTATACCCTTTCTCTGGATCTATGGGGAAACCTAAGGATTTTCTTTCATCATGTGTTTGTGTTATATGCACCTTATCCCTGAATCATTTTCTGTTAGGTAGGAATTGGTTGCTCTGAGTAGTGCCTGCCTTCATGCCTGTTACACATGAAAACTTCATGTGTCTGCTGCATTATTTATGCTCCTCGGGGACATGCTTCCCATTTTTTCCAACTGATTGGTTTGAAGGCCTTCATGAAAGTGATATGCCTGATGGACGTTGGAATTGTATCTATGAGCCAACTATACTTCTTTGAATCTTTCAGCATGCCAATAAATCAAAACAGTGTAAAGAACGTGAAGGTTTCAATCACAGACCAGGCTGATGAAAAGACAAATTTTAATTGGACTTTATAAAAAAGTGCTCTCATCTTTGAATAAGAAATTATGATAGTAAGATATGATTGCTGAGAATATCCAGATCTGAAAAGCATCTGGGTATGTTGGCTAAAGTGTCTGATAACCATTAGCATGTCGAATTAATATACGATCCAGGGAGTGTGTTATATTCAGAGACTACAAAGAGAAAAGGAATGACTCTCACAATATGGAAAATAATCAGGCCTTCCTGCCTAAATTGGGAAAGGTACAGCAATACAAAAGCTCTCCAAATTTTGCAGTTAGGGTTGGCACGAGTCTTTCCAACTCTTCTTTCCTTTGTCCCATTGTAGTTATGTACAATTTATCAGAGAGGATCAGTGAGATTCTCTGTAATGAAGTCTCTGCTTCTACCTCTTTTTGAGTCCTTCTTTCAAGCATGTAATAGCAAATAACTTCAAATCAATGTACACTCTAGCCTTTAGTACAGTGCTTTATCCAGGCAGAATATGGAAACAAACCTGAGTACTTGGCACATTCAGCAAGATGCTTTCTCTCAAAATTTAGGAGATCAAAGCCTGTCTGCACTGTAACTGTCTTCCTTCAATATGTTAGTCGTGTTCTGGTAGCATCACAGTTGTCAAAACCACCACTTATCTGGACCTCAGAGAGAGAGCTTTTGTTTGAGTCAATCACCGTCCTCAGAAACATGTTGTCATCATCGATCCAGAGAAGGCAGCTTTGAGCACATGAGCATCCCCAGTGACACTGGAAAGCAGTGAAAGATAGACTCTTTGCCTTTGAAGAGGAAGATCAGCATTGTGCAGCAGGCTTCTTTCTCAGGATCTCAACTGAGGTAAAGAATCAAGGAGAATACGAAGACGTTTTCTCCTATACTTTATAGCCCATTTGTCATCAACAAATATCAACACTCTATTGTGCTGCAGGAACAGAAAACATATATAAACACATCAAGAATTTTGATGAGGTGAATTTGATCTTGACAACTAGCTTCATGGACAAAAAGAAGAAAAGTATAAAATAAAATGCAAAAAACATACAGGGGTTTCTTAGTATGTTTCAAAGGGCAAAAATGTTCCTGGATTTCTTGTTTATTTATTTTAGATGGACGGTTTTGATATTTTCCTATTCCTCCTATTTCAGTGTGTCATCATCATCATCATAACCATCACCATCATCATCATCATGATCATCACCATTGTTTTATGCCTTATCCTCCACCCTTTCTAGCAGCCAATTCTTTCCTCAGTTTACCTCTATGGACTTTGCAGTCAGTCTTGCAGGTGTCCATGTTTCTTTCATGGTGAAATTCTTATCCTAACAACCTCAACTTCATGTCTCCATGGACAAAAATTAGAAATGTATAAAATAAAAGGTACCACAAATATAGGGGTGTATTTAATAGCCTTCATAGGGGAAAACTGTGCCTAGATTTCTTGGATAATCTATTCAAGGTAGAATGTCTTGATCATTTCATTGCCCTCCTACTTCAATTTGTAATCTTTATCATCATCATCATCATCATCATCATGATTAAACAATTTTTAAGTCTTTTCCTCCACCCTTTATAACACACAATTTATTCTCAGCTCATGTTCATGTATTTGCAGTTAGTCCTGCAAGTCTCCATGTTTCTTTCATCATCAAATTCTTTTCCTAACTGTATCAACTTCATGGCTTTCCCTGTGCTATTATCATTAGAGAAAACCCAGCAAAAACAACAATAAGAGGCAATTATTAGCAACGAATTCAAATTCAATTATATGTTTGTGGTGGAGTTATGTGTTTTTATTTGTGTCTTGTGACAAAATGGTCAAGAGAGTGTAATCCTACAAATCATAGTCCTTGAACTCCTGAAGGTATAGATGTTGATTTTTAGAAATCCCAAGTGTTAGTGAAAAGTTATTGAGAATACAGACAGACCATCAGTGTTTACCACTTCTTCCGGAAAAAGAGGTGATGTTCAGGATTCTATTCTGGAAGAAAAGAGAAATAAAATTATCGAGGATGGAATTGTCTCCACAGAAATCTGTCTTCCTTGCTATTCTCAGGCTGCATACTCCCAAGCATATCCCACATTCCCCCACCCTAAAATAAAACCACTGGCTTGATACAGTCTCCACTCAATTTTGGATTGTGTTTCAATGATTACTCTCCTTCTTGATCGATTCTTCTAAATGTTTCAATCTCTGTACATTTGAGAGAGAAAGAATTGGCTGGGAATTGTTTCTCTAGCAATAAGAAGACAAGACAGGTAGATCTCATATAAATTGGTCCTCAAAACTTCTTTCCAGAACTCAACAAAATGAACAAGTAAAGCAGGAGGAGTCATGACCATATCTATGATGTATGTGCCATGTAATTTAGATGATTTGTCCAAGGTTCTATTTGCCCAAAAATGTATAATATTTGGGATTATCATGTGAGTCTGTGTGTCTCCCTTGCAAAGCAAGAGTATCATGGAATGAAAGATGAAAACAAGATGTCATAAAAACCCCAGATATTGTCAGATCTTGGGCAATTGCACTTTCTTCTGAGTTATGTAAGCTACTTGAAAGGAGAAAGCCTTTATTCCTTTTTGATGAACCAAATAACTACACAAACTTTAAAGGTGTGTTGCAACAGTGAACTCCTTCTCTAATATTTGTTTGACAATGATGAATATCATATCTAGAAAGGGAGAGGTTCTTCATTCAATTTTACTATCCAGGTACAATGTTGGAGGTGCTGTATTTCACCTGATGTATGATGGAAGCTAAGGATTTTCTTTCAAGTTGCATAAATGAATTATAATATGTTTCTTTGATTTTTTTTCTTTCTGGGGAATGGTTAGTTTAGAGAAGTGGTTTATTTAACCCCATTATGATTTAGAAATATAGGGTATCTACTGCAATTTTAAGCTCCATATAGGTCTGATCTCCAAATTTTTTCCTCAGCCATAAATGTTTTAATAATGGATCTCAAGGAAGTGTCTTCCTTTAAAATGCAAGAGTGCTACCCATGTTCTGGAAGCATCAAATCATCAAAAGCACCACTTATCTGGACCTCAGAGAAAGAGATTATGTTTGAGTCAATCAGCGTCCTCAGAAACATGTTGTCATCATCGATCCAGAGAAGGCAGCTTTGAACACATGAATATCCCCAGTGACACTGGAAAGCAGTGAAAGATAGACTCTTTGCCTTTGAAGAGGAAGATAAGCATTGTGCTTCAGGCTTCTTTCTCAGGATCTCAACTGAGGTAAAGAATCAAGGAGAATACGAAGACGTTTTCTCCTATACTTTATAGCCCATTTGCCATCAACAAATATCAACACTCTATTGTGCCGCAGGAACAGAAAACAAAGACAAACACATCAAGAATTTTGATGTGTTGAATTTGATCTTGACACCTAACTTCATGTACAAAAAGAAGAAATGTTTAAAATAAAATGCAACAAAAATACAGGGGTGTACTTAATATGTTACTAAGGGCAAAAATGTTCATAGATTTCTTGATTATCTATTCAAAATGGAAGTTTTGATAATTTCCTATTCCTCCTACTTCAGTGTGTCATCATTATCATCATCATCACCATCACCATCATCATCATCATGAACATCAAAATTGTTTTATGCCTTATACTCCAGCCTTTCTTGCAGCCAATTCGTTCCTCAGTTTACCTCTATGGACATTGCAGTCAGTCCTGCCAATGTCCATGTTGCTTTCATGGTGAAATTCTTAGCCTAACAACCTCAACCTCATGGCTTTCCCTGTGCTATTATCAAGAGAGGAAATCTAGCAGAACCAGCAATAATAAGCAATTGTCATCAGTGAATTCAAATTTCAATTTTATCTTTCTGGTAGAGTTTTTTTTTTGTATTCGTGTGTCTCTTGTGACAACATGGTCTTTTATTTCATGAATATTAATAAAGGTTCAGTTTCAAATTCCATACTAGGTAAATATTATAGGACTTGACTCTGATCCTTTCTCTGAGCTTTGGAATCCAGAGTTGTTCCATACACTCTTATTTTTCAGATTTGAGATAAAATGCTTTTTGAAAACATATATGATCAAGTTGCCATTTGGAGAGGCTCTCCATGAAAAGAGACATGCCCAGATGCACCAGTAACCAGGAAATCTGACAAAATTTTTGTGTAACTCAAAGGGGGAAATTTGTGAATTCACATAAATTAAAGTCAGAGTAGTGCAACACTTATCTTGCTTCTCGGTGTGCTGTAAGGCTATATTCAAAGTGGGCTCAGAGGCAATTCTCAGGAAGAGGGCTGCCCACAAAGGATGGAAAGAAGTTTTGGGGGAATGGAGGTAAGGTGAAAAACTCTTGAATCATGGGGTACATGAAAGTTGAGCATCTTAAATTTACCATACATCAGAAAGATTGAATATGATGGTAGTTTTAAGAGTCATTTTTGAATAAACTTCACACAACTGAGGTCACTCAAGGGTAATTTTTCTTTAATTTTTCACTAGCTGGAGTGTGAATTTCCTCTTTATGAGACCTAATGAGTCAAAGGACTGAAGAATGATAGACTTGAGCTCTTGGGTGTGAATAAATACATAATGGTCAAGAGAGCATCACCTTAGAACTTATACTCTATGAAATCATGAAGTCCAAGATGTTGACTTTTAGAAATCCCCAGACTTAGTAAAAATGATTGAGACTTGGTGCTTACCTTTTCTGCATGAAGAGTAAGAAGACCTCCAGGATTCTTTCCTGTAACAGTAGAGAAATAAGTTATCAGGGATGTTAAATTTTCCACACAACACTGTCTGCCTTGATAGCCACATTATGCAGACTATCTAGCATAGACACCCATCCAACCAACCTTTACACGTTTCTTCCTTCCTCTATTTTGGCTTGTCTTACAATGACACCTTTCCTTCCTGATTGCTTCTACTAAAGCTGCCAGTCTCTGTCCTTTAGATAATAACCTAAGTTATTATCTAAATAATTTAGCTATTTATCTAGACAACAATTTTCCCTTTGATACACTAGTGGCAGATGGAGAGTGGCATGGGGGAAGTCACGGCACCTATCTCTCATACTCATTTTCCTGACATCTTCTATTCCACATCTCCTAGCACACTGTATCTGCTTTAAGAAGGATGGGGCCTGACTATCTTTGATGTTTCTTTCATATCTTCAAGAAGACATAGCTGAGCCAACAGTTCCCTTGAGGTGTATCATCTTCTGGTTCATCATGTGAAAATGTTTCTCACCCAAGCACAGCAACAGCATTATGGAATGAAGCTAGACAAATAATTCTTGAATCTCTGGCTTTTGAAAATGCAAACATAGAATGTAAAAAGATAATTGGGCCTTTAAAGTCTAGATCAGTAACTATGGATGAATGGATTCAGCATACAATGAATGTTGAGACGTTTGGCTATAATGATGCATCTTGCATAGGAGAAGCGATTTCCAAAGCAATGAGGAGACATCAAACTGCCAAGTGTTTTAATTGTGGTAAATTATGACATCATAAAAGGGATTGCAGGCAAAGAATTTCTCAGAATAATATCTCCTCTGGGAATGACAAAAATAGGAGACCTGGCCTTGTGGTATATGTAAGAAGCGCAGTAAAAGACCACCTTGGGCCAACAAATGCAGGTCAACAACAGATAGACAAGGCAACCTGATACCATCAGAAAACCCCTTGCGGGGCCTCTCGCAGGCCCCCAAGCCAAAAGTGGCCTAGTCATTCCCA